TGTATTAAAATACGAATCTTTGCGGTTATATATTGTATATATGTAGAGACGGCGATAAGAACATATATACATGTGAAACTCTATGCACAAAATAGTCCTTTTGCCGTACCTGAGCGAGTGGAAATACGGCTGCGAACACCTGACGTTCCACGTATTCACATTGCGACATCGTGACCAGAAGTCCGCCTGCAGCCACAGCAGCACCAGCGGTTACCTTGAGCACACCTCTAATGAGCGTTCGTTTAGGTTTGTTTGTTGTGGTGGTGGTTGTGGCAGTACGTATCTTTGTTTGTTGCCACCGTGCAACATGTCTACTAGTACTCAGTCGAGCTAACATCTTGGTGATCGAAGTTCATGCACAGCGTGCTGGTGTAGTGACGTTCTATTGAGACTGAATTGTTTCTGGCCTTGACAGAGTGTGCTGTATACAATTTTGTAGTGGTTTTAATCGATTGAAAGTCTTTTAAACTACAGGTACTCATGTATGTATATAGTTTCACGAGCTTCGCTGTTGCCTGACGCAGAACTCGAACACATAAGTATTACTATTTACGTACATCCTCCCTTGGACGACGTATCGTCGTCGTACGTTTGTTAAAATTTAAAATTTAAAATGAACGCTCGTCCGGCAAATACGCCGCCAAACCCAAATAAAGATCAGTCCTGGAACTTTGGGGGGCTCCACCTGAGCCCTGAGCCCTGAGGCCCTGAGGCCCTGAGCCCTGAAAGTGAGGCAGACGGGCCCTAAGCTTTGAATGCTGAAGCCCTGAACGTTCGGACTTATATCTGATAACGGGGACTAATTTAAAAGTTGAACGTTTTATTAGGGCCTTTCTGCCCTATTTAGGACCTACATTTTGTCCTACGGACTTGTCCGTTCTCCCTTAATTTATACTTTTTCTAGATGGTCATGATAATTTATTACAATAAAATATATACCATTCCCCAAGTCCCCAACCACAATATGTATTGACATATATATATATGTTGAACGTAAATGTGCTTTATGCGTTTACGTGCATACGTATTGAGGTTAGGTTTTTCTTTATCATCGCTTTTTCACCACGTGTAAATAATTACTAATTTGCCACAGCTAGATTGTTAGTACCGAACTGTCTTTTTTCAAATGAGGATATTTAAGCATAAATGTCGAAAACGTGCATTTATTTAAGGTAAATATCAAACTGAATTTTTACAATGTATATTTAACAAATGTATATGTCACCCCCGGAGCATTCAGTTAGAGTGTGTCCTTTCCACAAAGTATGAGGCGAGAGTCAATGTCAGATTCTAACTCTTGACACATACTAACTTAACTCAATTGATACTGTTGGTTAATCACGTCAATAGAACAACCACAAACAAGTATAAATGACGAGCTAAATTTAATGCGTGCTGCCACAATAACAAATAAGAAACAACTACAAATGTGAGTGTTAAAATCTTGCTTACTGTGTATAATTCGTGTTGTACTAATATAGCTATTTATTCTATTACTGTAGAATAATTGTTCTATTGATTCACAAGACATATGTGTACACATGATACACCACATATGCTTTCTAAAGTTGTCGCATCTACGTCCTACAATGAGAGCACACACAGGCCACTCAGGTACTGTTGTCAGATAGTATGGGGTATTTGGGTGATTCCGGACGAACTCTTACTGGCATTTATATGTACTGTACGGATCATATTCGGTAATTTTATCAGAAACAGTGTCTGATTCTTTGGTCCCAAAGGGAAACCATTACTGCGCTCAAGCGCGCAATAGAATCATGCAAAACAAGTACGAAGAGTATTCCACATTTCGATTCCAGCCTATTTTCGAACAATTCGATGAGACAGAAGTAACATTGCGAAGAGCAAGCTGATAATAGACGAAATAAACAATCAAGTTTAATAATATTTAAAAAAACAAAAAAGCAATTTTAACAGCAGAGTCGATGACTCGATGACCCTCTTTTCAGGAGTCAGGCCTCAGTGCGTGTCTTCTGTGTGCGTGTGGACTCACTGGACTGTGGTAGAAGATCCTTTCAACTTTCTCCCACGGGCTTTAGTACACCTTATCAAAAAGCAGCCACTGAGAGCAGCATAATCTTGGCATTAACCAGGAGGCCTTGCATGCACGTGACAAGCTCGGCGTCAGTAGCAGTTGCAACAGGTGGGGACATCAGCATCAGTGACATCAATGGCGACCTGGGCAGTGGCTGCCTTATTGGCGGCATCGATTATCACTAGCATGGAACCGTGAGTGTTACAAAGGTTGTAGTCGTCGAGAGTCACCTTGAAACCGCAGTGGTCGAACTGTGGTACGCCACAGAACATATTCAAGACTACAGGGATCATGCTTGGGTCAATATGTAGACGACTGGTGGAGGTTATTAGCATAGCGAGTGTGGCATTGAAAGTAGCATCAATATGTACCCTCTACACTCACCTTTTGGGGTTAACAGCAATGGCACGCTTGACAAGAGGATGGAAATAACTCCATCTACGATGAGTCCGGCAGCAAGGAAAGTGATCGTAGATTTGGCAGCCTACTCGGTATTACATGCAACAGCTTCGGCATCAGTGGCCTTTGCAACACAAACGGGCACATCAGTTGATGGCATCCAGATCAGACTGAACGGTGATGTGAGGCTATATCATGATATCAGCCATACAGACCGCGCCAAAAAGAGAAAATATCTTTTTGCCTTTTTCTGTTTTTCAGGGGTGGTAAAACTGTAAATAAATTCTCTAGAGTGAGCAGTTTCCTTGTACGTTTTGTTTTTTGTTTTTACAATCCAATCAATTTGCGGTTACGTTATACGTTTATTGCATGGGTGCAAAACTTCTATTATAAATTGACGATAATATGTACGATACGACAATTCATGCATGCGAACACTTATTATACTGTGGGCGGATATAGACTTGTAAAACATAAGCTACTTCCAGGAAGCACAAGATGACTGCAGTTGCAAATAAGTGGTCTTTATTCAGACCTTGTATCGATCTTCATGGAGGACAAGTTAAACAGGTGCGCAGGAAGATTCTTCCGTATCTGTATATTGTATATTCATGTGAAGTTGTGCGAGTATGACTAGAATATTATGCACGATGTTCGTATTGTTCACATTCAAATATTGATCAGTGTGTCTGAGAGAGTGTCACTGAGAGGCAAGTTGTTAATATTTGAAAACTGTACTGGAATCAGCGCAGAATTGTCTTGGCATACAATCCAACAATATGAGTTTGTTTACCTATACAAACACAGATGCTTCGCAAATGGTAAAATGAGATTATATCGAGTATATTCCAATTGTGATAGCGGAAATATTCTTCGAACTCCTTATTGGAAGTAGTTATATCTCGACAGTATTGTTCACTTCTATATCAATATAATATATATATATATATATATATATATATATATATATATATATATATATATATTATATATAATATATATATATATATATAATATATATATATATATATATATATATATATAT